GTTAATTTCGTTTGTCTGGTTTATGATCGATCCTCTATACCTAAAGTTGTTGATCCGTTCAAAAGTTTTATCCCGGACGACCAAAGTTCCAGTACTAGGCCTATTCTGAACTCTATCGGTTACCATATATTTGGTTTTTTCCGCGCTTATTTACAGTCCCAGATCTTTAGTATTGTCTATTAATATTTTTGCGTTATTAATTAATGACTCTTCATTTTCCCTTAACAAAGCAATATTGTCCGCGTATGTCAACAATTGAGTTGTCCCGTTCAACTGTAGACCATCTTTACTTTTCTGCAGTTCTTTGACAGCGAATTCCAGTACTAAATTGAACAAAAGGGATGACAATGCGTCCCCCTGTTTTAACCCGCTATGGATATTAAAATCTTTCAACATTTGGTTACCTATCTTCATTTTACCCCTAGTTTCCCTTAGGCAAAGTTGAACAAGATTGACCAATTTTCTTGGTATCCCCTGTCGTATTAGGATTTCGAGCATTTTTTCTCGTTTTACCGAGTCGTATGCTTTTTGAAAATCTATATAAAGTTGATGTACCGGTTGATTAAATTCCCATTTTTTCTCTAAGATCTCCCGAATAGCAAAGCTTTGGTCTGTAGTCGATCTATTTCTCCTAAAACCGCACTAGTGATCTCCTATTATCCCGTCCGCATACGGTACTATCCTAGCTAGTAAGATGTTTGATAGTATTTTGTAACACGTCGGTAAAAGTGAAAATACCCCGGTAATTATTACAATCCATTTTGTCTCCCTTTTTAAAGATTGGGATTATAATCGACTCTTTCCATTGTTCCGGCATTGTTCCTTGCTCCTTTGTGGCGTTCCGTCACGATTCGCCTACCCAAATTTTTCGCAGTAATATAAATCCAGTTGGACGAGACATCATTCCAGTAGTTCACATGAATAACAAGAGAAACAATTAAAAGTAATACGCATAAGAGATTAATTATTATTTGCATTGCTCCATATTCATTCTTTATATTGAAATAAACTATTGGAAGGATTGTCCCTTGCAAGGCACACACCGGAACCATAAATTATCTCCTGAAGAATCTATTTCCTAGAACAAAGAATACCATTCTTCCTCCAGTGTTGCACGTGCCTGCTTGACTCCAAGGCCACGTATAGAATCTGACACTGCACTAAGATTTTCCGTTGCATCAATACCCATTGTCCCAGGAATATTTCCTTTTAAATAGAGCTCTTTCTTTTAACCAGCGTGGAAAAGTAACTAACGAATAAACAAATATCGAGGAAAGGAATTGAATATGAGACTCGTCATGTTTAAGACTAAAAGGTTTCAATAGCTACCAACGTTCTCCGATTCCCTTACATGGACCCATTGGCTATCTCATAAATTTCACTGATGCATAGGCGTAAAGGCACAACCAATTAAATAAAAACCTCTCCGAAGATTTCCTTCGCATTCATAGTACCGAGAACCCCCGCCTATGTTTCGACACATGAAGCCTTTTTTTTTTTCGTCAGGAGGAAAAACCTTCTAAAGGCTCCCTGGGCCCGTTACCCAGAGAAGTGTCGGATTCGACCTGCACGTCGCCTACCGACTAAAAAACCTCCCGATTATAGTTACAACCGCGGGGTGTGGGCCGACAGTATCTCCACGTCATGGGATTCTATTGTCTTATGCCCAATCCAGGCAACCTGGAATGGTTTTTCCTAGATCACATCTAGCACTATCACATCACACCACCGATAGCACTGACACTACCACTTAACACACGACTCAACGGAGGTTGACTCCGGAGTTGAACCACTACCTGAAAAAAGAGAATAGACCGGTCACCCGCCCCATGGCGCAGCGACCGCGTTAACTCTCACACCATGCACACTTTGTGCTCACTCTACCGATGAGGGTAGAAGCAGCCCACTGGACTCAGTCAGGCGCCGCCAAGGCCAGCCGAAGCCTTGCCCACGGTGGCCGCACTGGAGCTAATCTTCTGGAGTGTATCCTTACACGCACACGTCCGTCCGCAAACACATGCGCACGCACCCTTCCAGATATACCGTTTCTCTTTCTTACCCTTTCTTCGTCCTCCTTCCTTCTCATCACAAGCCCTGAGAAGGACTGGAATGCGGCCCCCCCCCCGGGGTATCCAGGGAGGCCCTGATTATCTCAGGGAGAGTGGGTCGCACCCCACCTATCGCTGACACCAGATCGCTTCTGGCGTCAGCCCACGCCGGGCAATCGACCAGCGTGTGCTCTGCGTCGTCAATTAATGCCTCGCAGTGGAAGCACTGCGGGGATTGCCCCCTACCTATCTTATAAACGTACGCAGAGAAGCAGCCGTGGCCAGTCATCAGCTGAGTGGCGTGAAAGGTCGACTCGATAGAGTGCGGTCTCTCAATCCACTTAGCCAGCCTATCGGCCAAGGCGCTCCTCACACGTACCCCCGTCGCATCCGGGGAGTCTACCAAAGCTAGTTCCTCCTCCCTCCCCCTCCCACCACGCGGCGATGGCCTGGCAAGAGCCCCAAGCTTGGCCTTAGTGCTCAGAGGGACAGTTCCCACTAGCCCCTAAGGGTAACATAAGCCTCCGCCAGCCGAGGAGCCAGATTATCGAGAGGGATAATCCCCGCAATCATCATTGTCGCGTGAAAAGAGGCCATCCTGTAGGCGCAGCACACCCTAATCGCTACACATAAAACCTAACGTTAAAACAACAACTACAACGCAGGAGAGCAACCCTTACCAAAATCCTAGAGAATTACCATACCACCTCGCAATAGAATATTATAAACAATTCTCCCGAACCATCCCTCGTCCTCTCTTTCCCCACGACTGAGGTCGCCAAGCTAGGACACACCTACCAAAGTCACGTAGGACTAACGGTAATCCATTCCTGGAATATTCCAGAACGAAAGAATAATTATAAATAACTATCGTCCTAAACCAAGGAAACTCGCGAAACTATGTGTACAAACACACGATTGAATATGTAAATCTTAAATATGATCGAAAGTACTGAATATGTCGTCTTATTACAGAATTAGAATTAAGTATTAGAATATAATTGATTTAAGGATGATAAAATGATTATTGATTGGAGATTCACGAAATGTAATCGATTAAGAAATGATAAAGTGTAATTGACTAAGAGATGTCGAATATATGATAAGAACTAGAGAGATAGAAATTCATAAATGATAATCTAAAATATATAAGAATAGTATGTGCATGTATTAGTAGTCCACAAGGACATAAGAAACTTCTAGAACAGAGATGCATAGGAAGCTTGGGCCAGCTAAAGCCAAAGAGTGGAGGCACCAAAGCTACCCCTTTCTACGAAGGACTTTTGGGGGATATAAAAGCCAGAGGACATCGCCCCCGCGGTCACTTATATTTTCACCAGTCACTTATAGTTTTCACGTCACTTACAATTTTTCATTTCTCTTATAGTTTCCACTTTTCATCTATAGTTTCTCATCATTTACAATTAGTCACTCCTAGTTCAGTTGTTACCTACAGTCATTCAGTAATTTTCACATTCGCTACTAGCGTTCCAGCTATTCTTTGTTGAGTATTAATCAATTCTATTAATTAATTAAACGATAAATAATTCGCCTCTCGAGTTATCGTGTTATTCAACCTTCCATTGGAAAGAAGTAGCCTCCTGCGCAATCTCGAGATCAACCTACTACTGTACTACAAGCTGTAAGTCATAAACCTCTTTTATTTTCATTAAAACCATTGTTAACCAGAGCTGCGGTTACCCATATTTCTAGTTTCAACCAAACCTTCCTCAATCTACCCCTTTACCRTACGCACTTTGTCATATTTTATCACTGTTTAAAACGGAAAAACGAACCATCCTGGTCCCGGTTAAACTCGGTGAAAGCAGAGTGACCATAACCAGGCATTACTTATACTATTTACTTAAACTAGTCCTCTAGGACGTAACACCATATTAATTTGATTAGCTCAAAAATTTCTTCGATCAAACTATTTCCCCCCCTCCTTTTTATTAGCTCCGCAGGAATCGAGTCGTTACCCGATGATTTATGATTTTTTAGTTTTTTAATCGTGCTTTTTACTTCTAACATCGTTGGTTCACTAACCATAAGTTCCGCCGTATGGAACTTGAAATTCTCAGTTTCCCGGTCGTTTTCAGATTCTACATTTAATAACCGATCAAAATAATTTTTCCACGTGTTCAATATCCCCGTTGTATCCAAAACTAAATTATTGTTCGCATCCTTCACTAGATCCGGCCTAGCTTGGAATTCCTTTCTGAGTCTATTAATCCCCGCGTACATACCACGGACGTTACTGCTTTGGCAATTTTCATCAATTTACTCAACTTTTTGTTTTAAAAATTGTCGCTTCTTGTTTTTAATTAAATTGTGAGTCGCTTGCCTAATATTGTGAAATTGGTCCCGGGTTAGATCCGTGTTTTGGGTCAGCCACGAGATACGCGCTTCGTTTCGGACTTTGATGGCTGACTCGCATTCTTCGTCGAACCATGGTTTGTTTTTGTGCCTTTTGCAAAAACCAACGATAGCTTCCGCCGATTTGACCATCGCGTCGCGTATGTTATCCCATTTTTTATCCATATTTTCGTCTGCTTCGTCAATTTTCTTTGCCAACGCGAGTCTTTTCGACCGCGTACTTTATTCCGTTTTCTCCCTCGATAATCTTTTCTACGTTTATCCGTTTATTTCCTATCCGCTGTCCATTGGTCTTATTTACGGAAAGCCGTTTCCTTACCCACGCATTAACTATAAATGTCGATATAAATGGATTAAATTATTTATGATATAAATTGACTAAATTTACATTTAATATTGCAATGAACATTTACATTCATTGTTAAAGTAAAATATTTTTGTTATATACATACACTCACCCACAAAAATATTGTTGATTTCAAAAATGAAATTGTTGATATTCAAAATGGTTTCTGTCTTCCCGCGTAAATGACGAACATCGTAGCTGCTGCAATTTGATTGGCTTAATTACTTCGTCCAAGAGGATGCATCTTTTAAAAGTATAACAAAATAGATTTCGGTATCTAATTTCGTTAGATTTTATAATTAATCTAGGATTTTTTTAATGTTCATTAAAAAATTGCAATGACTCTGATGTCATAATTATATAAATAGTGAGTTTTTTAACGTTAAAAGTGTATAGTTAATAGAACGATTTATTGACGCTGTTACAAAAGAGGTTATCTTAAAATTTATTTATTAAAAATAAAATGCCTTTAATTATAATAACAGGTATTCCTTGTAGTAGCAAAACTACAAGAACTTTACAACTGAAAGAATATTTCGAAAATGAAATGAAAAAACGGGTAGATATAATTAATGAAATCAATGTGATTTATAAAGCAGGTTATGATAGAAACTCATTTTATTCTGGTTAGTAAATATTGTAATGTTTTAATTTCCAAAAAAAAAAATGTTTTCTCGATACTATAACCATAAAAAAATATTATCACGTATATGCATGTACAAATGTATGTTTTAGATTCTAAAAAAGAAAAATGTATCAGAAGCAATATCAAATCTACGGCGCAGAGGATATTGAATCCAAACGATGTACTAATAATAGATGGTAGCAATTATATTAAAGGATATCGCTATGAAATATACTGTATGTCTAAATTGTATAAAACACCGCAGTGTACAATACATTGTGATATACCTGTTGAGCATGCTTGGCTGTGGAATGAAAGAAGACCGCTATCTGAACAATATAGCAGAGAAATATTTGATGCGCTTGTAATGAGGTAAACTGAAAATATCATTTTTTTATTATTTTTATAAAACTAATAAAATTATGAATAATAGGTATGAAACACCAGATAGTAAAAATCGATGGGATGCTCCATTATTTTCTGTGATGCCGGAAGATGATTTAAATTTCAACGATATTTACAAGTCCCTCTATGAAGTTAAGGCACCTAAACCAAATCAAAGCACACAATGTGTTAGTACTTTTAATATTCTATTAATTTAATTATATTTTTTACACATACTTAATTATATTTCTATTAATGATTGTTTTATTGTAGCCACCTTTATCATCCACGAATTATTTATACGATTTGGACAGAATAACACAAGATATTACTAGTGTAAGTTTACTAACATTTTCAAGTGAGCAATTGAAATATTTTTTATTTTTCGTGTATATAAAATGCTTGTTTATTTTTTTCTTTATAGGCAATATTATCGGCTAAACAACTGGGAATCGAAAATGATGTCAAAATTCCTCAATATGGCTTAACGGTACAAAAAACAGGTAATACGCCTCAAATGATGAGATTGCGAAGGCAATTTTTAACATATAGTAAAATGCATCAAATTGATACTAATCAAATAGCACTATTATTTGTACAGTATCTTAATAAAAGCTTATAAAGTATAAACTGCAAATGCAATTTTCTTTCTTTAAGTAGAAATACTTTAATCAGACATTACAAATGTTAATACCTAGAAAAAATTATATTGTCTATGCTATTACCACAAGATATACGAAAGGTTGATATCTTTTAATAAACGATCATGTAGAATAGATTTTATTATAAAATTATATTAATTACATCATTAAATCTAAACTAACTTACATCTAAATTGATCTGCACTTATTCCACATAGCAAATTATTATTGCTTATTTCTGAAGATCTTAAAAATAGCAAAACATAAAAATGAAACAATCATTATATTTGTGTGGTTTTTCAATTATGCGCAAAATACGTCAAATGATAATAAATGTATGCTTTAAGGAAGAACAATGGAAGAAACTATATTACCTCGACAATGGTAAATACATCTACCTACTTGTAATTTTGTATTGAACTTAAAAATACACATTCATTATATTCATTTCTTTTTACATACTTTGTAACAGTCTTATATCTTATATTTATTATAAATTTTTTTATTTAATTTTTCGGAAAAATGAAGTATTAATAAAATAAAGAATTTATACAATAAAAATATCTGAAAGGCACTGATGCTGAAGATCGATACAAAGCTTAAGCAGTCAGATTTATAACGTTGAAATTCAAATTTTGTTCCTCACGATGAAATATAATATACAGGTTTACACACTAAATTAACTTTTTTGCAAATCATATTCACTTTTTAACATTATAAATTAAAACTCTTATAGATTAATTTGCGTAAAATTTAGAATATACAATTCCTTAATATTTATTACTGTAAATAGGAAATTAATTTAACCCCTAATTGTGTGTGGTTGGCTAGTCAATTTGATTTGCCGAAAAAGGTGAATATGATCTGTAAAAGAATTAATTTAGAATACAAAACCTATATAAATTAGATATGTTATCCTCTCATTGCATTTTGTTGAGATTTATTAAAAATAAGACAATACATTAATTGTATTTGATGAGAGAGTTCAATTTGTATAAGGTATTTAAAAAATAATTGTTAATACGAACATAATAGAAAGATAGAGAGAAAAAAACGCTTGAAAAGTATTTACTTCCACATTTGCCATTACAAAATTATATATCTGAATAATAACACATATAACGAAGTAAAAACTTTCAGTGATTATTTATATATCATTCTCTATACATGCTTTTTACAATAATTTTTTAAAGGAATTAATGATAATATAGAAAAATGATACATTTATTTATATAAGCTGTAGTTTCTTCTCCGATGAAACTTTGTCTGTTCGTTTAATTTAATTTGATTTTTTAACTTGTCTTCATTATTTGCAATAATGACCAAGGATAAAGAAAAAACTAAATAAGGCTTCGTTAGCACCTGTAAAGATATGTCATTAGCATTATTACTAACTTTAGTAAATCGAAATATTCCCAACTAAACAGCAGAAGAGAGCAGAAGAGGAAATGGTCATATTTTACATTGTCATAGCTATTGATACACGATGGAAACAAATAAACGTTAATTATTATGCTAGATCACAAATGTAAGACTCATTAGGGAAATTGTCAAATTGTTACTAAAAGTTACTGTTCTATGCAGTTATTAATTATATTTAGTTTCGTACTATTAAAGAAACTTGTAGATGTTAAAAAAAATTTAGTTCTCAGGGGAATATGAAATAACACTTATTTGTATCCAAATAAGCTTTTGAATCACAGAAATTGTTTTACAATACCAGAAGTTAAATATTTTATGGTTGTCTTTGAATTTGTTCTGTATAAATTGTAGTACTTTAGTCCTTGTACAATTCCATCAATTTTCCTCATGAGTAAAACATATTAGATTTGTCAAGATTTAATTTTCTTGTTCTTGTTCTTGTATGCCATTACTTTCAGCACCATTTTGATGACCCAATATATTAATATGTCTTTTAGGTTTCCGACATACAAAATAAACGCTATTATACTCGCATTGTAACATACTGTTCACATTTTGCGCGTAACGTGTTTTCATATGTGTCTCTTCTTTCTAAATAATGATAAACATATAGGAATGTAATTAACATTATGTGTGTATCTTTTCTATATTAGAAACAAAAAAAGAAGAAATTAATTACCTCAAGATGAAAACCAAAACCTTGTATAACATCACGGACCGCATCATAACTTGGTTCGATTGAATCTTCCATAGGCATGTCACTAAAATGATACAGCAACGGACCAAGATTTATCCATATTCCTCCCGGTTTTAAAATTTTATAGATAGTTTCTATAAATTGTACCACATTGTTTGCACAATCTATAAAGAAACATGTAGCAACACAATCCCAATGGTCATCTTCCGTATAAACCTATAATTTAAATTTTCATTAGTATACTTAGTCCTAAATAAATATTATTTTTTTTTGGATAACTTAAAAAAATAATTACTTCTAAGAAATCTCCTGCCGTCATAGAAAATTGTGCATTTTCTGGAAGATCACTGGGATTTACATCAGGGAAGAAAACAGCTTGCGTTTGATGTTCTGGTTTTAAATTATTCATATATTGGTGTACCCATGGATGCACTTGATATGAATTTATACCTCTGCATCTATAATATTCATTTTCACAGTATCATTATTGTCATTGTTTCATTATTCGAGTACCTTATTTAACTTATTAACGATAAAAATGAAATTGTTTTTACAATACTCACTTATTTAATACAAAATGTGATGCGAAGAGCATAAAGAGAGAAAATTCGTTCCCTTGGCAAGTATAACCACGCCTTGCAATTTCATACGCAAGACGACCCAATCCTGCACCAGGTACTAGAATTTGCACTTGTGATGGAGTACTGGAAATTTACCTATCATTTCATATTTTTCTGAACTATTTTTAGCTAGGACACAGAGGTTTTGCAAATAATGATATCTAGATTTTGTACACGATAATAGTAACTTTAAGTGGAATCTGAAAGCTTGATCATAGATTGCTTATATTCTTAAATATCGTGATCATTATTAAGATAAAATCTAGCAATATGTATTAACATATTGTAAGAAAGTAGACAAAATATTCGTACCATTTATCTAATGGAAATTGATTAGTTATTTCATCTATGATAGGTTGATAGCAAGCTTTACGTTCTTCACTTCCTTCCACGCTCCAGTCACGAACTAATTGTTTAATAGTAGCTTGTACTTTTTCTTGGTCAGCCAGTACAGGTCGGGTGTTCTGTGTCTGCAATCAGACCTACCTATAGAATATATCTTTGTGAAAATAAGCTTATTAGTGATACGTTTTATAAATTAATTGTATATTTAATTAATTAATATATTTCAAAAGTGCAGGTTTGAACTATATGTTGTATGATAATAAAAAGTGAATCATATTTGAACATTAGAAACTATTAAATTTGGTATATTATATATAGCGGCAGACGTATCATAAGAAATAATGAAGCATGCAACAAACCAGGTAAAGTTTTCTTACACTATCATTTTGTGCACTAGCCGGGCTCACATTTTCAAAAATATGAGCTACATCTTTTATGATGAGCCTTATTATGTCGTTGTTATATTCAATACATCTCTTGACTTCCTGAAGATGTTCTTTATATTTTGATAAGAGTTTTTGATGATGCACCGGTAAGGATAATAGATAAGATTCTGTCTTTTTAACTCTCTGCAGGGAATGAGATCTATAGAACAAAATTTTCATTTTTTAAACATATTTTGTATTTCATTTTGATATTGCGTGCATATTTGTCTGTTCATGCTTACACATCTCTATAAATATATAAAAAATCACGTAAATATTTATCTACTTCACAAAGGACATGAGTATTAATATCTAGTATGAAATTGTATTTAATAGCTAATGAACTTATGAACCTGACAAGATAATATTAGAGCCATTGTACTTTTATTGGAATAACAACGTTGATCCATAAACACCGATGACATAACTTGTGTACAAGTATAAGTTTAATATATAACAAGAGATAAATGAATACATTATAAAAGCTCTCGCAAGAGACTAGTTTCCTATCTATTAATGGGTTAAACAAAAAGATAATATTTAACATATCATATATCGTATAATCGATGAGAAATAAAAATCATATACAATTGTATAGTCGCGTGAGAAAAGAAAGAAAAAAATGAAGGTAATAGAAATAAGGTTAAATCATCATAGCAAAGATTAAAAATAAAAAAGAACATTGATCGTTCATTTTCAATGGGTCTACTCACTTGTAGTGTCTGAACGCTGAAACAATACGTTGAAAATGTTTCTTCTCCTCTTCATCCTCGTAAGAATCGTGAACTTTTCTCGAATACGCATTCTGCATCGATTCCATTTTTGTACTCGCACACGTAGGCCCTACTTTTTCCTAATTAGCCTTTTAACACGATGTTCGGTGGCGGCTTCCTCGGCACAAGCGTTATGCCGAGTTTACAATACGACAGCAAGATTAGTTTTAAGCCTCCACCGATTTGATGTGCGACGACAAACCAAGCCCTTGCCAATAATACACTATTGTCATTATGACGAAAGCATCCTCAAATCTTAAGTTAAATCAAGATGAATTTTGGCTCGTGCGAGGTTACTTCTTTATACTAATTATTAATGATTATAATTAAAGTATATTTGAAAATTTTCATTAAATCAATTACTTAACCTATCGATCGAACTTTATCGTTAATTATCAATCGAAATTTTGAAAGATTTAAATTGAATAAAACAAATGACGATACATTTGGTTATACAGTAAAGATAAAATTTTACTATTGTGAAAATAATGTATAAAATTAAGCCGTTTATTTGGAAAGTGTCATAAGTCTCTTTACTTTAATGAAAAATGATAATTTTTCAATGCCTATATAAAATTATTTATAACGTAAATGTTTAAATATATCGATTTGAAAACAAAGCGAATTTCAAAATAAACTTCTCAAATATAGATAAAATCTTTATGTACATACCTTCGCGTACCGTGCCAAATTTATAATCGATTTCTAAGGTAATATTTTAATCGATCTTTGTAAATAAACTCGCCATCGAAAAAGAAGAAGTTTCAAAACAAACATGGTATTTCTTTCGAATTCTTTTTTTTTCTTTCTTTGATATTTCTTAACGACCATTTGATTTGTCTGCGATTAAAGCAAAAAAATTTCTAAATCGATGAAGAAAAGAAAAGTTGAAAGGAAAAGAAAAAGAAAAAAAAGAAAAAGCAATAATATGAAAGTCGCAGTGCCGGTGACCGGCGCAGATATCTGCGATATCTGCAGAACATCTATAGTCGTTGCGGCTCGCAGGTGTGACATGCTCGCATACGCCATTTTTAAAAGGAGTTCTCAGTCGCTAATCAGCAGCCGCGCGGCATACTTGCGAGAGTAACGTTGGTCGAAGTAGCGGCATTATCGTTGACGAGACTTTGCAAAAAAAAGAAAAGAAAAATAACCCCTTACATTTATTTCATATCGAAATTACAAGTGAGAACATAATAGGGTGAGATTTGGGTAATGTATTTCACAATGACAACGGCGTGACTTGTGGAGCGTACGAATCGGAGTACCGAAGTGCGTCGTCAATAGTTCCTTTATCTGTCGCGATTTGGAATTTTTGTCAGTGGTCGTCGGTACAAGTGCGAATCAAGTCTGGTATTCTCCTCAAACCGCGCGATTTGGAAAGAGAAGGAAGATAGATAGTGAAAGAAGGATAGAGGCAAAGATATTAAAAGAGAGAGAGAGAGAGAGAGAGGGAGAGAGAAGAAAAAAAGCAGACAGCAGAGAAACAGAGAAGTACCATTGCTAGAGAGAAAAAAAAAGAGGCAGCATGTCTAGTGCGCCGCAAGTTTCCAGCGGGCTTAGCAAGCTGAAAAAAAAACATTTTCGGGTTAAGCATCAAAAAGTTAAACTCTTTCGTGCCAACGAGCCGCTTCTAAGCGTCTTCATGTGGGGTGTCAATCATACGGTAAGCGTTCATCATCATCGTCAATTCGTTCGTTCGCGTTTCATTGCGCGTGTATGTATATATATATATATATATATATATATATATATATATATACATATGTATGTATGTATATATATATATGTGAGAGGGAGAGACGTGTCGCATTTATATGACAGCACGTCGTATTGTACGTCATCGCGATTGCCATTTTCTCTATTTATTCCATCATCACGATTGATAATGCTTTTAATGAATGTTTAATAATGTTACTTATTTCATTGGATTTTAATTTTTTTCTGGACTTCGTACAGCGCGCTATTTCAAATTGTGCAAGCCAACGTCACGCTCTGAAAAGATAGAAATTTTTTTTATCCTACTAATATTCTTGCAATATATCTCTTTATACTTATACTTTACTATACTTATAACTTTATACAATATATATTTTTACTTACAGATTATATTTATAAATTTAATTTAATAAAATTTATGATTTTAGATTTTTAAATATTTTTTTGATTAATTTTTGTTGAATATTATCGATATTGATACTTTTAACTTTCCAATCATTTATTTACATCTTAGAACACTGAAATATACAGTATAACATTATTTTTGATATTTTAACTATAAACATTTTTTATGGTAGATATTAAAATAGAAATATATTATCTTTCTTATATGTGGACACATTTTTTCTTAACTATGGATAATGGCATCTGTATACACAGATGTATGATCTCATTGCATGTGGATAAGCCTATAAATACCACAAATGATATTATATATATGTATAACATTCATTAAATGTTCGGATACAATGCTTCCCAATTATGCTACTCAATATTATAGTTTATATAATTATTTTTTGTATAATAATGAATAATTATTAATATTGTATTCTTATCATTACAGATAAATGAACTTAGTCATGTTAATATACCGGTAATGCTCCTACCAGATGATTTCAGAGCTTATAGTAAATTAAAAGTAGATAACCATCTTTTTAATAAGTAAGTGTATACTTTGATTTTATTTAAATATTATCATTATTATTTCATAATTATGGAAACATTTTTTATTACTTAAATTGTCATAGCTTTTATATCGTAATATTTGAAAAACATAATTTCATTTAATGTTAGATATTTATACATTTTAATGTTGCATTCAAGTGCTTTGGTATTTTCAAGCAATCGTTACTCTTAACGTTCATGAAGTATCATTAATTTAAATTTAAAGCATGCAAGTCGGCTAGTCCATTCTAAATATACCACTTAATATTAGATTGTTAGGTTGGTCACAGCAAACCAACCTTTAATAATAGAATCAATGAAGGTCTTTCTATGGCCCAGCATTGTATTAGTAAATAATGGAGGTATTGATTTTACTTGAAATATTGTTTTGTTATGAATGTATGTATTAATTTTTAATTACAGAGAAAATATGCCCTCTCATTTTAAAATCAAAGAGTATTGTCCATTGGTATTCCGTAATTTACGTGAAAGATTTGGGATAGACGATCAGGATTATAAAGAGTCTATGACAAGGTAATACAGAGAGAATAATTCAATTTTCAATTTTACATTATCATTGTGGCTGCCATAATGTGTAATTTTATTTCACACAAAATCAGTTACCATTTTATAATATACATATTATTATGTGAAACCTTACATTTTGATAAATAGCAAACAAGCATTTGAATTTTGTGATGTGAAGTATAAACATGGTTTATTAGTTCACATTGCACGTACACAAGACAATTTATTGTTTATTCACTTTTTTTCTTTAAATTAATTGCTACAGATAAATTGAATGTACTCTTTACTTTGCATGTCAGCAGATATTATGTTTACTTATTCGCAGGTGTAGTATCTTTCAAAAAATTGTTATTTTGAGAGAAAATAATCTATATGCACACTTTGATATTATTTATTAATTTTTTTTTCTATTATGGGATTATCCCGAAGATAATGTTACATAAAAATAACTAAAATAAATTAAATTCTCTCAAATATTAATCATTGTGCTTTAGAGATCTTTGTTTGTATGTTTGTCTTTTGCTAGAAATAAGAAAGCATGTATGTTTTAGATATTGGTATTGTTAGTAATAATAGATTGTTTGATAACTTTTCGTTTAATATTTTGTTTCTTATCATTATTGTTAATGTAACAATGGTTAATAAGATAATAATAATACCATCATTCTGGACATTTTGTAGATATTCCTAGTTTAGCATAAATAACTTATGTACAGTTCTCAATTTGTGAAGCAAAGAATACAGATTTTGTCATACGGAGATCATGACACATGGATTCATACTTTCCTGCATCAACCAAAAGATAATTTGTAATTAATAGTACGTCTTGTAATACAAAAATTTTGCTAATAGATGTCGAGCATATAATCCTTCTCGACGTTCGGGTTTGGTCACACTCAGTGGGAGGACTCATCAATTGGTTCAGCGTTCAGCTACTGCTCCCTCAATAAACTTTACTCCTCCTCCTTTTATATCTCAAATTTCAGTCTTAAGTAAACCACTACGTACCTACAGTTTTAAACCAAAACGCTTGAGGTTAGCCAGACTTGATTTCCCATTCTGTGCGTGTCTTGTGGTTAACACAATTTGATGAGTTTCTCTTTGACGACAGAGATTCGGCACGAACTTTAAAGTTGCATTAATTATTTTTCCTAGACTTACCTTTTATACGATCTAATAATAGTTTATATTAACATTATTCTTTCAAAAAAATTCTAGAAACTTAATTTTGATTAAGTTAAGCATGCTTAACTATTTGAGTTCCAGGGCTTCTTGGAAAAATCTTGTTGAAAAGACCCAAGCAGTATGATAGTATTTATTTCAGTTTATGTCGAGGAGATCTAAGTAATGATATCGTGTTATTTTTTATTAATTCGACTGGCAAGCATCAGTTAAATTGAGTATTTCAATTTCGGCAGAATTATAGTATATTATCAATTATCCACAACAGTAAAAGGCAGTGGGTATTTTTGATATGAAATCTAAAGGGGACTCAAACGGTTAAAATTGGAGTGTTCAAATATTAGAATTTTTTTAATTTATTGAAGTATTTAAAAAAATTTACTGTAACCTGATACAAATATTAAAATATTTTCATTAGATAATTGCGTAAAATAAATGTTGAAATGTATTAAATTCTATTATGATCGTGCAATAGATATTTGAAATTTGTATGAGCAACTACAAATTGACGTGTGTGATTTAGTAATATATTCTTATCAAGTAATAAATTTGTTATACAGTTATATAACAAATTATATAACTAATTATATATTTGTTATAATTTGTTATATATTTATTCTATGTATTATTTGGCTTTCCAAGTTTTGCTTTGTGCACTGTTTGAATGTTTGTTTGCTTGATTTTATGTTTCAATAAATAGGATGATGACTAATTTTGCTTAATTGCCTTTTATGTATTCAAGATTTTTTACTACTTTTATGTAGAAAATTTTTTTATCTTATTTTCATTTGATTAGCCTTAAATTACAGATCAATAGCAGATATATTAATAATATGCTGTATAGCTTTGTACCGAATATATTGAAAAGAAAATGATATAATAATATCTAGTTATATGAATTAGATTTAATTTAATTTTCTTTTTTATAGGTCGCAACCAGTACTCGATGATTCATCGGGTAAAAGTGGTGCTAAATTTTATCAATCTTATGATAAATTATTTATTCTTAAAACTCTTACAAGTGAAGAAGTAGAAAGGATGCACTCATTTTTAAAACATTATCACCCAGTAAGTAAACTAATTTTTTCTTTTAACTTCTTTATAATATAAATGTGATATTTTGTAGTATATTGTGGAACGACATGGAAAAACCTTACTACCACAGTACCTTGGGATGTATCGATTAACGGTGGATGGCGTTGAACATTATGTTGTTGCTATAAGAAATGTTTTTTCTAATCATCTAACGACGCACAAAAAATTTGACTTGAAAGGTTCTACTGTAGATCGTGAAGCATCCGATAAAGAAAAGGAAAAGGATCTCCCTACATACAAAGATAATGATTTTGTCAAGGAAGGAATGAAAATTTACATAGGAGAAGAAGCGAAAACAAAACTCATAGAAACTTTAACTGCTGATGTTGATGTAAGCATTGTTATTATTATGTCTTTTTATGCTACAAAATCTTCATAAAGTAATTATGTTACAGTTTCTGACAAGATTACACTTAATGGATTATTCCTTATTACTTGGTCTTCACGATTGCGCTCGTGCAGAACTAGAAAATAGAGAACGTGCAGAAAGGGAAGAAGATGAAGATAATCACGACGAGGAAGATGATAGTGAGTCTGGTAGTGGATTAGATTCAAGAGGCCCAATGGGAGAGTAAGTTGGTTATTAGTAGTATATTTACTGTTAATCGTTATATTATACATATAATTCGTTGATAATAGTGTATTTTTTTTATTATATTATGAAGTATTATTTCTGTCTCTTTTAGTCGACTTTGGGGTTGGAGTGGGGTTACAGGCATGGCTACGCCACCAGAATCACCTCATGCAGCTTTAGTGCGTGATTCGAGTCTTCAATATGAGGATGCAATAATACCTGAATTAGATATATATGCTATTCCCAGTAAAGAAGGTAATATCAAAAAATACAAAATAATTCAATGAAATGTCTTTCGTTTTATATACCTATGGTTATTCTAATTACTATTCATTTTATTCACCAGGTGCCCCTACAAAAGAAATATACTTTTTAGCCATAATCGATGTATTAACACATTATGGTGTACGCAAACAAGCTGCAAAAGCAGCTAAAACGGTGAAGTACGGTGCCAATGTGGATGGTATATCAACGTGTGATCCTGAACAGTATGGCAAACGATTCATAGAATTTATGAGTAAAGCCATAGAATAATTTTAATATTTTTTATTATGATGGAACATATTTAAAGATGCATAATGAATTTAAGGATCGTGAAGGTACTACTATTGCTTGCACTTTTATGCTAGTAAAATACGACAATGAGGAATATTATTGAAAGGTTTCACTAGAAGTAAAGCTCGCTTACAGATGTGACCAACAACACCAAATGCAGCCCTTAAAATGCGGGTTAGAGTAAAACGTCATTTTTTTTCTCTGCACAATTTAAAATGATAAATTTATTCTTAGCCGATATTCATCGACACATTATTTTTGTCATGTAAAATTACTTTAACCGTTGAATTTTTGCACGAACTTTCTACGTCATATGATTCAAATTATTCTTAAGCTTATTTTTTGACTGAGTCCGTGCTTTACCTAATATGGTTATGTTTATATATTGTATGTACAGAGATTTTTAAAGAGAGCAAGAGAGAGAGAGAGAGAGTGAAAGAGAAAGAGCGAAAGAGAGAGAAAGCAAGAGTGAAAGAGAGAGAGAAAGGAAAAGAAAACTTTAAAATATAGTTTTTTCATCTACTTTTAATCTACTAATTTTATAAATGAGTAACACAATAACGTTGGATACAACATTCAATATTGTTTATAGAATAAAAAAGTTATAATCAAATATGTGACGCATAGATTTAAATTCTAATTGTTTATGTGTGTATCATGTATATTCCATTAGATGGAATATGCTTATAAACAATAATAAGAGCAAGAGTATAAACTGTAAATGTTAATTTACCGTTATTGGTATTACATAAATGCTTTATAAAAGCTATGGTAATTATTGTAAAGGGCAACGGAATTAATGGTATTAACAAATTATAAAGAAAAATAATATTCAAAAATAATGTTGATGTTATATGTAATAGTACTTGGGAAGAGTACAGTTATTCTGCATCGAGACTTTTCAATTGAATCTAGAGAAATCAATGAAACGATCGTAGGTGTTTTTGATTTCATCGTTGCAGGATTGAGAGAGTGAGAACGAAAATATTTAAAGTAAAGTCATACTATTGGATATTATATTCAATATATATTTTATTCCAATAATGCGTTTTTCATTTTGGTAGTATAACAAAGAGAATATAAAATAATATATGCGCAGAAAATCTTATATATATAAGAAAGCTTATAAATAAAATACATATATAAATATTATAACAAAACTAAGTAAATGTTATAAAATCTGTAAATCTGTAATTTCGGTTATACACTGTATATTGTGAAGCGAATTTTATGTTTGGATGCAACATATTCTCTTATAGCTCATCGGAAGTCTAATAGGGAACAAAATCAATTGTATGTACCTATAATGCGTGCGATATATATCTTCTTCAATTTTTAGCATTGCTTGTCATAAGGAAATTGATGCCGTGATAAAGCATCATTGTTGTGTACGGATAGTCATTATTGCAGTTATACACCTTTTGCTTTAAGTATTTTTAATGCTATTTTTGCAAGTTTGTAAGAACAGTAACTGTTAGCACAAGAGATTATACTCTACAATCCGTTAAGCATAAATTTAACTAATATTTTACTTACATTTTTTCCAGTACGTGTTGTTTCCTAGTTCTTTCATATTTGATATAACTATATATTATATCTATTGCATGAAGGGAAGTGCACCGTTGCATAAGACTATCTTTAAATGATCTAATAACCTAAATTTTATAATTTGTTAGGATCGATAACGATATAACAACTAATTACTTTACCAATTAAGGTATTCATCTAGTCTCGATACTTTATATGATTTTATACATTGTCAGCACATTAAGGAGGTAGGAGATAGCAAAATTGAATCATATTTGACAGTAACTACATTATATTACACACAGTATCAGTTGATATGATACGTTCAATCTGTAGCATATAGAAATTGTATCATATATATAAGGTGTCTGAAGTTTTTCCAGCTTAAACGGTGTCCGCCTATCTATGCAAGAAAATTAAATAAAATTGTTAAGTGTTAAAAATCTTCAGATAGCCTGTATATATTTAATTAAATTTTGAACTTCTTTCATTATTATGGCACCGTTTAAAAAAAATGTTTACTGCAAATATGCTTCTACAAATTACTGCTGTATAGGATTTTTTTCCATACTCTTTTTTCTATGAGATATTTCACATGTAACTTGCAAAGTACTTTTATTATATTATTCTTTGTATTTAAATTATATTAATGAAAAAACTACTCCATTAATATATGTTGAAATCAATCTTTTCATAAGTGGCATTGTGTAAAAATTATGTATATATTCAGTATTTTGTTGATGGCAATATATCTCAAGTTTTGTTATTATAATTGTACTATTCACTTAAAATGTCTGTTGTATAAGCTTTGGAGAAATAAGTGGATACCTAAAATCCATTAAACTCGAATAAAGACACATTATTAAAAAAAAATAATATCTTGTAACATTTTATATTTTGTTTATTGAAGGTAAATACGATGAACAAATTCATTATTGCAGACATTTTTAAAAATAATTTCTTCTATTGAAAAAAAGTAGTAAGAACGCATATATGTCTGTCTTAAAAGTCAGGTCCATATCTTTTAATGTCATTAACATATATTGCACAAAATTAAATAAATCATCTTATTTGTGGAAACGAAGTATTAATGTTTAACTTATAATAATAAAAACAATATATATAGACTTTTACTCAAATATTATACATTAACATTTGTACTTTTGTACTTCTATACAACAAAAGAAAAAAAACATTTCATGTTTTATTATACTAAAAAAAATGACAAGAATGGCAAAGAAGCCTAAAATTAGATGTATATTGAGATGTATATTTTCATATGCGAAGTTTCTTAGAACCAGTCTCAACAGGTAAACAATTATCCGAAGAAGTTACTTGATCCTTGCTTCGTGGACTTAGAGTTACGCTACGTTTTCTTGTAACAGGTGATAATTGTTTTAAATATTCCATGTCGTTGAACACCACTTGAGCACCACCACTACACGTTGGTAATATATCACCCTAAATTAGAAAACCATATTATCAATATATTTAAGAAAGAAATAATATTTGATTTTAACTGTAATTATAAAAATAACCTTGTATAATTTTGTTTCCAGTTCCCCATCTTCATCTTGATTTTGAGATACAAGGCAATATCGAGACGCTCTGCTCGTGATATCCTTTGGATCTGTTAAATGTGTAACGCTTCGTTTACGATGCATTATAGGTTGAAGTATTGTACCAACTGGTACTATTGGAGGAGGTCGATGATCGATCCATCTGTCTACACTTTGCGATCGCCTATATCGAGGATTTACTACTGGGAGTTTCTCCTGAAAAAATTTAATTAATATTAGATTATTCCAACATTTAATTGAACATAATTATGGTGTTTATTTTTTAATTAATATATTATTATAAATAATAGAAGTACTATATACTTTTGTGTTAATATCTCCAGCATTAGACTCCAACATTTTTGCCAATGCTTGAACTGTTGTTGTTCTTGGAGTAGTATCTACAATTCTATCTTTAACCGTAGATTCAGTGATACTACTACTAATTGTACTCGATGTGGCAGTTTCAGGAATGTTATTAGTTGTTGTTACAGGTATAGATTCTTTACAATTAATTGTTACAATATCACTCGCATTATCGTCCACCAATATTTGTTTAACTAACTTTAATTTATTTTCTTTTTCTTTCATTTGGTTCTGCAAACGTTATAATTATATAAAAGAATTTTTTTAATTAAACACGATTCAAAATACAATATACAAATTTTATTTATAAATCTTACGTACTTGCAAAATCTCTCTTTGTTGTTGCAATTTTGTTTCTAATTCTTTACTCATTTTTGCCGTTTCTGCTTGAATTTTATTATTGTATTTTTGCTTGACTTTTTGTTTATCTATCAATCGCTGATTAAGAGACATACCTTTATCTTTTAACTATAAAAAAAATTATTAGCAGTTTCTTTTATTAATACAAATGTATCATCATTCTCGGTTATACGTTTCATAATAATTATACTACCTCTTGTTGTAAATTTCTGATGGTATCATTCGCACTGTTTAATCTGTACAGCAAAGTATCGATTTGTTCTTCAGTCTTACATACAAGATTTTCCAAAATAGATATCTATAACATTACAAAATAATATATAAATATAAATTAATTTTTATGAGAAAACAATGTAATGAGTAACAATGTCTACCTTTTCCTTTTGTTGTTCATTCGACGCTCTCAATGTCGCATTTTCGATTTTTAGAGAAACATTCTCCCTGTCCATTTTTATCAGCATATTTCTTAAGTTGTTTTCTGAAAAAATTTAGTTTGTTAATTGTTTTTACTATAACTTCCTCGTAATGTCTATTACTTTATTTAAAAACATACGCTTTTGTTGCAAATCTCCTCTTAAGAAATTTCTCTTTTGAATGCGTAATTCCAGAAAACGCATTAGATTGGTAATTATTTGATCGCTATGGGGACTTGTCATTTCCATGTCTGGAAAAGGACCACCAAGACTAAAAAAAAATATATATTTCAATTAAAACATTTTTCGCATGTACGACCCGTATATGTATCGTTATGTATCGCTAGTAATAAAAAGGTTAATTATTATATGGTGTATACTTAATTATATTAATTAAATGTATATTGTACCTGTATACCAATCCTATATCTATATCTATATTAGCAGCATCAGCATTGCCTGCTTTTTCTAATCTGCTTCGTGCTTCTTTAAATATCTAAGAAAGAAGTGAAACTCAATATATAAAAAGCACATGCTTTATTCGAAAAATAAAATTGTAAACATGATTTATTTTTTACCTTATTCGCTTGCCTCCGTCCAGGAGTATAGCCTAAATCTAATTTTGAGGCTACAGATCGTGCAACTTGAACTTCCTGAGTCATTTCTGCAAATTTCATTGCTTGCTGTTCAGAATGAAAAAAAAAAAAACTTATGTTCACTTTCTTCATTAAAATTAGTGTATCATTTTATTCATTCATCGAAACTTACTATTGTTTCATCATAATCTTCTGCTCTAGGATTAACACATACAATCATCCTAATTTGTCCTTCGCCGTCAAAATAATTTTTGAATAAATGCGTAAGTTTAGAATCACGATAAGGTATCATTTTGTTAGTATTCTGAATTTGATTTTCTCTAAGAATTTCTAAGCACGAGCGAAGTGTCATTAATGAATTGTTTATATTGCCTGAAAAAATAATGTTAGATTTCATTATTATATAGAGAATTTATTTTTATAGAATTAATTAAAGGAAGGTTATTATAGATAATTATAATTACCTGCTTCTCGCAGTCTTTGGCCTGTATTTTTAGAACGATTAGTACGCTCTGTTCCAGCTAAATCTACGAGTGACAATTGACTAACGCAAATAACACGTTTATCTTGCACAACTTGCTCTCCTTGAGAATCTAATGGTGCCTATAAAAAAAAATAAATATTTCATATAAATCAACTGCATATTAATAATAAACACTATGTATTAGATTTAAGTAAATGTAACATAAATAACCTGCACAAGCCTTATAGTGAAAATGCTGTGAGATCTACTCGATTCAGCATTTAATGCAGTATGCGCTATGCGTCTTCTTCTTTGTCCACGTTGAAATACCTTACATGCTTCTTCTGAAGTTTTGACTTCTATTTCGGTAACACCATGGACATACATATTTCGATTACCATCTTCGCGTATAATTTTACTCTGTAACATTCTAAATCTTATTTCATATATTATTACTGTTTTAAGATATAGAAAAATAAATCAATACAAAATTTCAACTTACTTTGACCTTACTTCCTCGTCCTCGAGTAAATCATATACGCTATTATTATAAATCTCTATATATGTTACAAATACAGCATATCCGTTATCTTCGTCAACTTGCAGCATGTCTATTTCATCCGGGGCACATATAAAACTTGATTTATTGTCGTTATTATTATCTATCGATTGGATACAACTGTAAATAATTTAAATTTCTGTTAATAGAATATAACATATAATCATTTTAATTTATAATTTATTATCGTATGAACAATTTACTGCCTGTGTTTTCCATTTTGAGAGGCAACAAAGTCTGCGTTTAATTCTCCTTGTTTGTCAAATTGTATCTCCGTCTCGCTTAGTATCTCAAAACCATTTAATCTGTCTGGCTGAAATGTAGATCTTTTGGTTTGATAATTCGCAATACTATTAAAGAGAATATCCAAGCAACGAGGCATAATTCCAGCATTGTGAACATTTCCAGTCATTGTGTAAGTTTTTCCACTTCCTGTTACACCATATGTAAATAAAAGACTATTTTCCCCATTAATAAGATTTGTCACAAGCGGTAATGCGACTGTATTAAATATTTCCTTTTGAGTTGTATCATCTCCAAATACTCTACTGAATGATGTTTGTATTACTTTACTAACATTGCGGAAATTTATTGCTGTTTCAGGAGGTGTAACAATAATAGTTGTACTAGATGCAATTTTCATACATGAGATATCTGTAGAATTTAACATCGGCCTTATGCGACAATAAACTTGAACGGGTTCTACATTATCTGTTCTTATTTTGTTTGCTTGCTTTCGACTTGTAACAGGTGGTTTCTGGCGCCTATAGATTTAAGACAATTTATGTATTAATAATGCTGATATTTAATATCTTTAAACTTGTTAAATAGTTCTGTATTTATTTTTACATCGACTATTTTATTTTTATATGTACCTGTACGTGGACTCTCAAATATATACACATATATTATTACAAGTTTGCTACAGGTGCATATCATTGTATATTAGACAAAATATTGCAATATTAAATCATAAGTATGATAATTTAAGAAACTATTAGAGTTTGCACAGTTAATTTTATAAACTCTTTATAGTTTTTATAATCATAGCATTATTTATGATGATTTAACGAAAACACGTGCCGGATATATAGATAAGATAAAAATTATATCATTTAAATTAAACTTACGCTAACTTTATACTGGACATGGTTAAATAATTCGAAGGAATGTTACGATGGAATGTTATGAAATAATATAATAATATTAGAATTATTTTAAAGCATTATGGTCATTTTTTTTCTTTTCCTATTTTCGTAGATGTTCGTTACGAATACCTCATTCAAAATGAGAAACACAACACAACACAACTTAGGTTTAACAACATACTAGAGAGGAAATAGTATTAAAATGCAGTTAAAATGAGTGGATTAAGATAGGTGGCATGCAACAGGAAGTAATAAGAGACTCTGTCGGTAAGAAAGTTATTGACCTTGTTTTATTGACTAACGATAAAATTGCTAGTGACTTTTTAATGATATATTTAGATATTGATTTGTGTAAATTCTTAGTGTATTATTTTTTGAAAGAAAACTTATTTGATGCAAATTTACAAATAACTCTTGATAGTATCTTATAAATATACTTATATTTAGTTCTCAATAATAATAATTGTAATAAAAGATGTATATGTCTAAATTGAACAATGTCATATAATAATATGAAGAAACTATTACTTTATTCTTAATGAGTAAAATAATATTAAACATAGAATTTACAAATTTATGCATATCTAACGTTTTAATTCTTGTATATCTTGTCTTTTGTGAGTTCCATCACAAAATGGTCTATTTAATGTCTGTTTACAATTACATAACCAGTATTCTTTAGTTTCTGGGACTATAAATCGGACAGGTCGCAATTTAAGTTTTAAGAATATATTCCTGTGTGTACCATCACATAAAGGTTGGCTTTTACTTTGCCCACATGAACACCATTGATATAATTTTCCAGCTTCACAACGTAGTTTGAAAGGTTTTTTATCGTAGATTGAGCCGGTCTCTTTTTGCTCACTAGCACTGTATACTTCTTTCAATGGATTTACTGGTATTGAAGAATGTTGGGATTTTGTGCTGAACACCATTATCTTTAAAATTATCAAAATACATTATTAATGACAGAATAATGCAGTTATTCAAATATATACGTAGATACATTTTAATCTTAAGTAAAATTACTATGATAGGAATATAGTATGATACAAGGAATCGTATTTGGTTAGTTTTACTAACAACTTAATGAACTTATTATTTTTATAAGATTTCATTTGAAAAGTACTTACTGATCGTATCACAATTCATATAAATATTTGTGTATTATCTTTAACTTACTTGTTGATATTTTAAAACATTTGTGCGAATAAATAGCGGTAGTTTAATAGCCATGGTGATATTCATTGTGCAGACAATATTCAGAAACATGTGTCTTCGATAAATTTTATCAATGAAAGTTTAAACACGTGATATTGAATTTTAGAATATCTGTAGTGACAATTCAGTGGTTATGTTTTCATTACCGACAGAGATTCAACAATGATAAATTAACGAATTATATCATTTACCGACGGAATGTCTTTATCGATAAAGTCAATATCTTTATATACTACAAATAATTTCATTCAATAAAAATCAAAGGGGTTATTGTAGATAGTGTAACATAGAATTTAATTAAGATATTTATTATATAACATATACAACGATTTAATACGTTTATTGTGAATCAGTATAATATATTATAATATTTCACATTTTTGAATTATAATTGCATCACTATAATCTTTCAATAAACAAATTAATTATAGATGAATATTTCAAACAATAATAAATGTATTTATTGATTTATCGAACGTCTCTTTAATAAATATTTATTTACTTAATGATATAAGTACTCATTGATTTATTAAACAAATGGACGTTCTTTGTGTATTACTTGTTTGTAATTAATGTAATTAACAGTATTTCGGTTTCATGTTACCGTTGTGTCCGATTACAAACAACCTAATACATTCAACCTAAAAGTTACAATCACAGAATTGTTCTAACAAGCTAGAAACTATAGATTATTTACTATTTCCTCCTTCTTCTTTTAGGAATTCTAATTGACGAAACTAAAATTATACCATATTTTTTCAATAATGTTTTCGAACAAAAAATGTTCACTCAAAACATAAATTATGTAATTAAACATTTTTCAAAAATTAATCAGGACTGCAAATTGAGTATTATTTTATAAATTCTGAATTTTTCCTCTTTTATCCTTGACCTTTTTTTTATTCTTCTTTTTAGATTGAAACAACGACATCGAGTCGTTGATAAGATCGACATGTCCAGTTATCGTATTTCTATGATTTAGATTAGATTAATCTGTTGACGTTTCTCGATCGTTACTGATCGAAACCTAACGAGTCTTTAAAAGTGGAAAGATGTAAGTAAATATATGCATACGTAACATATGTACAGTGTATACGTATAAAAGAATAAGAAAAAAAAGAGAAAGGAAATATATTTCGCCATGAAATATCTCGACGATATATCATCGTGCACGCTTATACCAGATAATCTAATTCCATATCTCGTGTTCTTGCATAATTTGGCTATGTTTAAAGTGGGGCTTCCTCTTCTTCTTCTTTCCTTTATCTTTAGAGTTGAAAAAAAAGCTAATCGAAAAGAAGGTACGAAATGGAAGGCTTAAAAGGCTATGTAAATCAATATAAATTTTTCAAAGTTTTAAAGAGGAAATGGAAAGAGAAAGAGAAAGGGAAAAATAATAACAAATTGAAAGTTAAAAAGTAAAAGAGAGAGAGAGAGAGAGAGAGAGAGAGAGAGAGAGGGAGAAATAGGGATAGTTTAATGCTGAGCTAACAAGAAGCTTTGCTGATAGGCACGAGCATGGTAGCGAGTGGGCTAATCGTTACACGATGTCGTCGCACACGTTGCTTTGAATATTTAAAAAAAAGCATAGGGAGTGTTATTTCCCACAGGAGGCGGAGAAATTCTACGGGCACTCGAGAATACTAAATACCAATTTTCATCTTAATTTTCTTTCATACTTTCGAACGCGTTTTTTTTTCTCTAATACAAACTTCGAAGAATTGAAGTACGAGCCAAAAAGCTACTTTTTTTGTTTATTTTTCTCTTAATTGCTCTTTTAATGGTAAGTGAAAATTTAATAGTCAGGAAAAAAAAATTAAAAGATAAAAAAGAAAAAACAAAAACGATGTAGAGAGGTAAATCTTTGAAAAACTAAAAGAAATGTAGAAATTTCAAACGATATTTTGTCTAATGTTATAATATTCATGAACTTGTAATGTAATTTAATTAGTGTTCTGTGTGAAAAGGAAATAAAGCAGTTTAGATAAGCTGTCGTTGTGGGGCTTTGTTGCTTTTCCACGTTTTCCTTTTGACTTACTAACTTTAATTATCTCGTAGGTAAAGAGAAAGGAGCTTGTTTCAAACGTTTTCTTTGTATATATATACATATATTTTTTTTTATTTTAGCCGTTTACTCTTATCTTTGGATTAATGTATTTATCTCATATGAATAATATATAATTTCGTTATAATTTACATGCACACTCATGTATTATCACTTTTTAGATTGTTTAGGAAATTAATCTTTGGCAACTTCTACATTTCCAAAGATATTAAATTAGATATACTCAAAAAACTAATTGCCAAGGATGTTCGGAATACGTTAAACTGTCGTTAAAGATAAAAGTGATTTTTCGATATTGAAGTTCAATTCATAGAATTTGAATTCCTTGATAAAGAAATTTAATACAAAACGTAAAACGTACTACTCATAAATTTTTGCTAAAAAAAAATAAACAAAATCTATTTCGGTTTACTTGAAAGATATTCATTTTTATATAGAAATATCCTGTTTCATCTGAATTTACGTAGCGATTGGAAACTTTTTGCTGGTATTGTATTTACGTAGATTTTATATAACACGTAAATAGATAGACCGGTTGAATGAGACTTTGAATAAAAATATTGATAATAAGCTATCTGATTAATTCGAGAATCATCCGTTAATTGTGTGATATGTAACAAAATAGTATTAAGCTTTAAATAAATGATTTTACTTGTGTAGATATGTTTTTACGCAAAAAAAAAACTAATTATCTCTCTCTTTCTCTCTTTTTTCTTTACTCGAAGTTGGTATCACGCGTGAAACGATAACCCATTCTCCATGCACTTTTTTTCACATCGATCGATATTTTTGGACTAGAAAGAGTTCAATAAAAAAGATAATGTCGATAGGTTGGTTTATTAGAAGTCATACGTGTTTCCCCGTTTTATTTTAGATTCAATTCTTTTCTTTGGCGCTTTTTTTTTTTTATCGAAAACAATGTATCTACGATAAATACCCTAACGTCCAAAAGAAAATTATGAGCTGATCGTTAACGCAATATCGTGTATTATTGAAATTTATGATCCCTTTCGGCACGATAGTAATTTTAACGTTGTGCATCAAGAACAATAGTTAATAATGAAGCTATTAGATAACGATTGCTGATCGTTTGTCGTATTATAAACGAGAACGTGCAACGAATTCGTAAATCGTCTACATTCGATATTGTAAGTTTCGATTGTTTGAACGTATGACTCAATTTTTCCATTTGGAAAAATAAAAAAAAAAGACAAATCTCTTAATATTTTAATTATTTTTCTTTTTTTTTTATTCGAGAATTCGGCCCAATATCTGTATTTCCTTTTTATTTGTGCAATGATTAAATATATTTAAAAAAAAAATAAATGAAGAAAAATGTGTTTGTTCGTATTTCAAATCTCATTGAATAATTTTGACTTCGTTGATTCTATTTACGATAGTCTAGGAAGATAAAAGCACGAAGAAGGATTTAAGATGGGATTTGGTTAATGACCGAGCAAATAGAACTAGTGATCAGTGTAATCATTTCGGATGTTCAGAGATTAAAGAAAGTGTCTTGAATCGGGGGCTTTTTCATTCGTCAAGAAGGATTTTCGCGAATTTTCTTGGATATTCGTTTAAGTTTTCCTAAATATAGTTTTATTTGTAATTACAAAAAAAAAAGGAAGAGTAAAAGGAAACAAAAATTCAGCGATTCAGCCACGCGAATTCAACCAATTATTATTTTGATTAATTTAAAACACGATTCTCTTGAATAACAGAAAAAAAATTTATTATTTATTTTCTTTGTTTATTTTATATATTCTATCTCTTTTATTTAATTATTAAATTATTAACGATATACGAATTTGTAATCCTATCTGTATCCACAAAATGATCATAAATTTTTCGTCTTCCTCTAATTCGTCAAACGAATCTCCAAGCAATTTCTCGTATCCTTTTATTAATCACTTGTTTCGTCTTGATACATAATGTACCCTTGATGAGACTAAATTTCTCTGTGGAAAGTGAATTTCTTAGTTTACTGATGCCTATCTTGAACGCGTTAATAAGGTTCAATGCACGCTTTTATTTATTTTAAAAGCCTAAATACGTGTAAACATTTTACGCTGCAGATATTATTTTCTTCCAATTATTAGAAACAATAAAGTATATTTGTAGAATTGAAATAATTTGTTTTTTATATCGAGATACGAAACTTCAGTTACAGTTCTGTTATAAAAGTATTATGTTTTCTTGGTTCATATATTTGGTTAAACAAAATTAATTTTTGTAAGCTCGATAACAGTGACTTTTGATACGTATTGTATTTAAAAAGCATGAAGAGAAAAAAGAAAAAATGTGTATTAAAAGGTGTCGAATGGAAAAGGATTACAAAGAAATTTGTTCTGACACTTTTAGAAATAAAATCTCTTATGGATTTGAAAAAAAGAAAGAAATAAATACAAAAAATAAAATAAAATAAAGAGTACAGAGAATCTTGAAGGATTAACACCTTCTCCTACTTCTTCTCAGTTTCTTCCTTTTTATTATTATCCAGATAAAAACCTTTTATGATCCACAGTTGTCTGTTGCAAGCTTTAAGTATTACGTTCTACTTGCTTTCTTAGTTTCTCGTTCCTGTTTCTCACACTGATCGCACCCTGGAGATGGCAGAAAGATTAAAAAAGGGTGAACACTCGTTGGCCAACTAAGAAAATTAAGGAAGACGGCGACGTAGAAGAGAAAAAAAGGTATTGCATTTTTATTATTAGCGTATTCCTTTTTTTCTGTTAGGTGTCGTTAAAAATCGTGCAATTTATAAAATATATCCTACGTATTCTTTAGAGAGAGAAAACGTAATCTTTTACGTGAGCTGTTTATTGCCGATCCACGAAAACAAGAAAAATCATTTCTAGACATCGAAATTATTTTATATCGAAGATTTTCCATCTTTCTTTTATTTGTTTTTTATTGATCATGATCATCGATTACATTTAAATCCTGAAAAAAATTTGATCAAATAAATACAGAATAAGATTAAAGTTATTTTTTCCCGAAGCATTCGTTCATGTAATTAATTTGTTCATGAAAGAATGTGCGTTTATAGTCTGTGCAAACAATCGATATTTTATTCTGCAAAAGATTTGGATTTATATAACGGTTATAATAATTGTTAAAACACTCACTCCCCAGAACTTGGACACAACAAAGCTTCGATTGTGTTCTGCTATAATTAAATAAATCATTATTTAAACGATGTTAGTTGTGTATCAGTGATATAGTGTGTGTAGTAGTTATGTATGAGTTATAAAATTCATAAACAAAAATGAAATTTGTCTTAAAATAATCAAACTTAAATCTTCAATATCATTCAAATGGTGAGGTTTGCGAAAAAAATATAAGATACCTTTTTTGTAGAGCATTCAATTTCTTATAAAATTCTTCCAGAACATTTTTCTGTACAATCAATTAATGATGAGGTATGAATTTTATTCTATTGGACTGAGAAAAAAATAAAAAACTGCGATGCGGAGGATCTTTCTATTAAAATTAAGAGCTCATATTTGGTAAAAATTTTTTTAAGGTGTCTAGCAATCCATTTTTTTGTGGCACTTGTAAAAAAAATATAATTGATTTTTTTTACCCACCGTAATATACGTACAGGCGGCCCTCAACTTTTGCACAATTCGCTATTTCGAATATTTTTAAAGATTCAACAGTTTAATCCTCTGCGATCGGATGTTCCCTGAGAGGGGACATCAGACTAGCCATCAGATGACAATGTTGTTCGGATAAAGAGAATAAAACAGTTTCAGTCTTGCATTAGGGCGTGCGTCAACGTGTTTTGTGTTTTGCTAATTTAGATAAATACTTTAAAACACAATTTTTGGTGCATATTTTTTACATCCCTGTACTTTCGAACATTCAACATTCTCACAAACTTTCAGGAACCAATTATATGCGAAAGTCGAGGGCTACTGTATATATATATTATACGTACTAAAAATATGTGACATAAATCACTCTTGTTTTCAGTATCGTATATTATAATAATTGTAATAGAGGTATAAATAATGAAAAGAAAAATAATATGAATGAAAATTGAAGACTTTTACAATAATTGTCTCTCATTGAGAATACGTGTTGCGTGTTCGTAATCGAGCATTAAATGAAATCAAATTAACGAGGACGAATCATACAGATTGTGTCGCGACAATGATTTTTCCTCGTAATCGTTCAAATTCTCATTAGGTTTTCTAATAAATCAATCGATTATGTAAATAGCGATAGAGTGACATAGCTTATCTCCATAAACGATTGTTCGTACTATTCGAATTTGGTAATATTAATCGTTAGGACCTCTTTTTTCGAAGTATTTCTTTCCAAAATTTGTTATATTCTTTTTTCTTTCTAATTTCATTCTATTGAATATTAAAAAAAAAGAAAAACCTATTCTTCAAAATCACGAATATAAAACAAAATATATATTCGTGAAGTGCCATCGAAAAATTCGATCAACGTATCGCGTTAGTCTACCACTTAATACGTACAAACACATAACACACACACACACACACACACACACATATATATATATATATATATATATACGTACGCACCAGCATGTTTTGTAATAAAAAGAATATATTAAAAAAATGAAAAAAAAAGATCAAAGATATTATCACAGTAAGAATCGATTACACAAATTTACGAGGAAAAATACGTCAGCGGTCATATGGCGAGATATCGTGATACGAAGAAAAAAAAAATTCCGAACAAATTACCGGTTTGATTTACAAGAAGGTATTCACTAAAAAAAGAAGGTGAGCGAAGCGCGTATCAAATTTATTTTCGATGAATAAGAGAAAATCATCGCGAGAGTGCCTTGAAGCGCGTGAGTTTTTCAAGCGAGTGGATGAGGGTGATCGTTTTGTTTAAAGTATTGGATAAAAAAGAGAGATAAAAAGTGAAAGAGAGAGAGAGAGAGAGAGAGAGAGAAAAAGAGAGAGAGAGAAACAGGAAAGGAAAAGGGAGAGGGAAAAAAATGGTAGATATGTCAATGGTTTACGAAGAGGGTGCCAAGCTCGAGCCGGATTGGTGGAACAGAAAGGGTATCTGTGGATTCTCTCGTGGGTGGTTGGGTGAGACTATATAAAGCGTTTCGTCGTTCATGGGACACCACAGTTGCTTCTACGTGTTGCTTCACCTGCATTTCGCTATCCTGCGTACGCGTTTCATCCCCCAACCGCGAAATAGAAAGAGATTGGGAAAGAGAGAGAGTGAGAGAGGGAGTGGAGGGATTCAAGGAAGGTGAAAGAGTTTTTTTTTAATCGGTGCTCGCGTTCCACCAACTGTTTTCTTTTTTTTTTATTATTTTATTATTCTTTTTTCTCTTTTTTTTTCTATGCTTTCATTCATATTCATTCGGACGATGACCGAAAGTTATCTTTTAATTTTCGCTTTAACGAAGGAAGGAATAGCGTTTATCAATCGATGTGGTTGAAAGGACGATACAAAAAAAAAGCAAAGAAAGAGAGAAAAGGAGAGAGAGAGAAAGAAAGAGAGAGAGAGAGAGAGCGTGTAACCGTGGGGATTAAAATTCTTTTTTTTTTTTATTTTATTCGCATATTTTTGATCTTTTGATATTAATTATTAATCTCTCTTTTGTTCGTAAAAAAAATCTCGTGTAATGGAAAAATAACTTTGTACTCTCTTTTTGACAATATTATTAGCAATCTTTTGGGATAGATTTTTTATCGTATAAAATAATAAGAAATTAATTAAAAAGTGACACGAGAAACAAGTTATTTACGAAAGAATACTGCCAATTTCATTTTGGTGAACTTTTAGACCCACGGTTGGGAAAGCGTTAGTGAAAAGAGCGGTGTTACATAATTCATTGAGAAACGGTTATAAAACAAACGTCATATTTTTGTTCTTTTATTCTTTGAATAAATAACTTCATCGTGGGGTTTCCGATTGTTTGAAATTTGACGGTTACTTACTCGAATTTTAATTAAAAGAGAAAAAAATCAGAATACGAAAGAAATGTCACACAATTCAATCGGGTTGAGATAACTTTTACGTTACTTTACTTTACGTTAGCTTTTCTTGTTTTCTTCTTTTTTCTTTTTGACACCCTTTTTTATTTTTTCCTTTTTTTTCTATCAGTTATTTTGAAAATAAATTGATCAATAAACGATTCGAAATGAGTGAAAATTAAATTAAATTAGTATTACCATAGAATTACGATTGGATTGTGTGAATTGCATCTTTTCTTTATTTTTAACTCTTAGGTGCGAGAATGCTCTGTCGTGGGATAAGATCATCTATGGTGCCAACTTTTGGTAGCATTCAATTGATAACGTGCCTATGGATTGGGTGCACCGTTTGGTGCCTCGTGCAGGCCACCGATGGCCAACATTTTTATCTTCAAACTCGTTACGACAAACGTGATGTTTCACGTGCGGACGTGCCAGGTGAGCTTTCGAGATCATTCTTTTCGATCTTTATTTAAACCACAATATATCTTTTTCCCAATCATTGTCCGATTTTCTTTCATTGATCAATTCATTCTCTTCCTTCTCATTTTTTTTTTCTTTTCTTGAATAAAAATGTCGATCAAACGGTGGAACATTAATTTGATAAGTTTGATAATTGATCGATACTAATGTCATTTTTGTTATCTAAATTTTGATCTTCTATTATATGAATAGCAATGGAATATATTTTTTGCGAACAAAATGTATAAATTTATAAGAAATAATGTTTTTTTAATTGAATGATAGAATAAATATTTGAGATGGAAGACTATAGAAGGCAGATAATCGAAAAGTATCGTTTGAAATGTGCGTCTTTCGGTAAAAAATAATTAATAAAGTTAAATATGGGATAGAAAATTAATGAGATTTATTAATCCGTTCTTGGTTATTCTTCTCTGTTATGTTTCGTAACGACATAAATGATTGATAAGTATTTTAAAAATAGTTGGATCTATAGTAAAATAAAAAAACCTATTAATTGTCTTTCTTTGTAGTAAACATCACCACCTTGAATCTTTTTATCTATTTATCTCCTTAATTGTAAATGCAAACGAGTGACCATTCGATATCCTCTTTATTTTACACACAAACAATTTCAAACAAAGTAGGCCTTCATGAGGAAGTTGATTGAAGGGTTCTGGATAACTCAAAAGTTAGAGAACAGTCGTTTAAAAACGATATAACGGAAGACTCAGGTGTTTCGAGTTTCAATCGGAGTTGTTTGTTTATGATCTAATTTTTCTTATGAATACTATAATACACATGTATAAATTTGATGATAAAGATTCAAAAATTAACATTATGATTTTATAATTTTTTGTTGTTGATAAATAGTACGATATGAGCGTTCAGCGATTTATCATACAAATGGAAGATACGGAAGAAGCGAATCAAAGATTTCAGAGGACACATCCAGACCGATGAAAATCGTACCCAGAAACAACATGTTTTTCCTTGGAAGTAGATATGGTAAAAGATCTCTCGAAGATCAACAACGTGTTATTTATCATTCGGAATATCCATTGGAACGTTTGGATGCTGTTCTCGAATACGTTGACGAAGCACGTCGTGTAGCAGAAGCGAGGAAAAATCAACGAGATGATTCGCGAGAGGAAGATGAACGACAAGATGACTTGGTGGAAGCTGCTGCAGCAGCAGCAGCAGCGGCAGCAGCAGCTGTTATTCCTTTTCAATAAGCGTTCAATTATCTTATCTAAGATAATTCGTTTCTTTTTTTTACTCGAACAAAAATGATCTCATTTCCATTTATTTATATTTCTCTCTCTCTTTTTCTCTTTTAATTTTTAATAAAAAAATATTCAATTAATGGATCCTCCCATTATGTAAATTACATTTCTTATAAAGGTAATTCATTGGATAAACATCGAAAGAAAGAGAATGATAGTGTTCATTGTTTGTCTCTCATCTATGCGATTTAACCACTCGAACACTATAGTCGTGCTCGATGTTTTACCTTTTTCATTTTTAGATAAGTAGAATGTTATTCTTAATAGAATGTATTTTATGTATATGTGTATATGTGTATATATATACATATGTACATAACTTGTGAGAAACATGAAATAACTTCGATAAAAGAAAAAAAAAAAAATATATATATATATATATATATAAGATTTCTTTTTGACCATTAATAACGACTTCCTTCCTTCTCTTTTTCTTTATTTCTTTTTTTTACTTTACTTTACATTACTTTACGTTCTCGAATCTATTCTCATCATTTTCTTTAAATTATTTGTCTTTTTAATTAAAATGAGAAAATACAATGGATGAGTAGATGCATATAATTTGTCTCATGTCAGTTTAAAGAAAACGACGTTCTCGTAGGACAATGATTTCTTGGGAAAATGATAATTGGACCTCTGAGAAAAAGTCTTAATTAGATATTAATTAGAAAGTTTGTTAATGAAATTTCTTTTCGCAAAATGTCAAAAATTTATTCTAAAGGACATTTTCATTCTTTTTAAGAATCATCGAGTTTTTGCATTAAAAGAAAATTTGTTAGAAAAGTTGTCTAATTGTTTAAAAGAGATTAGCAGGAATCAATTGTTTTCCTCAAAATTATTTGATGAAAACTCTTTAATCCTATTTGGGACCTACTTTTGAAGTATCGAAGTGAGAGAAAGTAAGAGGAGCAGTTTGTTGGCTGACGCCTGTGCTCTCTCGAGAAAGTCAAATCTTTTCTGAACATAGTAGAATCGTCTGACTGGATGGAAGCAACAAATACATAAGGTGTAATGCATTCAATTTCTTTTCGAAATATAATTTAGTTAATTGAGTTTACTTGTATATCTAACGTTACCCTAATTTTCAAGATTATTTGACATTATAGCGAACTGGTACTTCAAAAGTAATTTTAGAACCTTCTTGTGTTTTGATTCGCTAAATAGTTTTATCTCTTTTTTTCTTTTGCCATCCTATTAGAAATGGAAAATCAAAGTCTGTATTTTCGTCATGGTTTGCTTCTTTTTTTATTATTCTATAAGAGCGATTGAGAGAACATAATTATTTTCCAAAAATAATGTTAATAATGTTAAAATTAATTTTCCTAATATCGTTATGGTAATTTTGATTTGTAAGATGTATCATACTACGTTTATTCGTTTAATTGAAAGAGATAAAGATAAAATAAAGGAATTGGGGGATGCTAATCGTTCTAATAAACACCTAGTCACCCTAATAAATTCTAAATTCTAAAAAAAGTGTTTTTCAGTTATCATTAAAAAAGAAAAAGTATTTTTCAATTAATTTAATGAAACCTACAATATAAAATATATACATATATATAAATGGAACAAGTACATCTACGTTGTATACACTATATACATTATTACGTATAAAAGTATAGGTATATACATACTGTTCTTTGATTTTTATCCACGCATTATATTTTGTAAGGTGAAAAGTACCATCATCTTTACAAAAAGAATATTTACGGATATCAAGATTAAATTTTACGAATAAAAAATATAATATACATGAATATGTATTTATGTTGGTAGAAAATTAGATAAAAGTAATAATAAAAGGCGTCTATATGCAATACCGTTCTTTCCTTTTGATATGTTTTGTTTTTTCTTTTAACGAATCTTTGTATTCCACTTTATTTAATTTAATTTAATATAGGTTGATATAATTTTCAGAATATAATTCCATAAATACTGTTTTAAATTTGATTGCACATAAATTTTAAAAATTAACATAGCACATTATGTGAATTAGTTTTTTAAATTATCATTCATTATTTTATTTCTAACTGTTTTTTTTAATTGTTATTTTGAAATGAAAAAAATGTCATTTTGAGATGGAAAATGTTCATTTGAAATAAAAAATTGTTCTAATGACCTGAAAAATCTATATATAACCACTTGAAGACCTATTTGTTTTACATAAAATTGTTTATTAAAAATTCAATATATAAATCGTTTTAATAAAAACACTTCGGATAAGTAATCGGTTTTTTTATTCCTATCAAATTTATTTAGATATTTCTTCTACGATCGTTAATTAATATTTACGAGAAAAAAACAATTAAAAAAATTAAAAACATGAAATCAACAATGTTGAATCGGAGTCGACGTCTTCCGACGATTCTTCGATCTTTTGACGATTATTATATCGGATGACGTTAGTACACATACGGACAACACGCGAGGTCACAGATTAGATTTCACTCTTTTCGTGATGTCACCATGAACATACGGATGGTAATCATCATACAAACGCGGAAACTTTCATACACGATACTCTTCCACATATAAAACTTTTCCATTTCAATTCATCGCATTATTTTGTTTCTTCATCTTTTTCGAGGTTGGTTTTCTTTTTTTTTGTTTTTTATTTATTTTTTTGTTTAATTCTAATTGCAAATATGCTCTTAATGATTCCAAAAATTGTTCTTTTTTTTCCTATTTTTTTTGTTAACTGATCTGGAACAAAATACCCCATGGTTTAATTAATCCAATTTTAATTAAAAAGTACAAATAACAGAAAATGAAAATATACCTACTCATGGTAAAATTTGCCATTTTGAATCTAGTATCAACTCTGTTACCAAAGTAAACTCGATAATTAGGCCGTTCAGTGCACACATCGATTAACTCCATAAAACAAAAAGTTGAAAAATGCGATGAAATAATGTATACTGTTTCTTAAATTCCTTTCAATGGCCAAAAAAATTTTACCGTTTAATGGTGTTAATCTTTATTATTCAGGAAAGTTATTATAAATATAAAAAGTTATGACTATACCAAGTGCTTTGACACTTAAATTTAAGATTTTTCAAAAAGTGGAGTTAATCGATATGTGCACCGAACGGCTCAATTATTAATCTAAATGCAATTTCAATTGTTATTTGGTTCTTTAGTGAGCGAAGAATAAGATATAAAATGGGTTATTTGTTTACAGTACTTTAACAGAAATTATAACGTAGGATATTCGAGGTTTGTATCGAGCAAATAAAAGTTAAGAATGATGAATGATAAAAAAAATGTATTATTTGTAAAATAAAAAAAGAAAAAGGATCAATTGAGTTTCTTTTAAAGATGTATAAGTTCATTAACAGCTGAAATAAACCTTGTTTTATTAATTTGTTATTGGATAATAAAATTGATACATACTGTTAATATTTATAAAAAAACATTACCTGAATTTATCAACATGTACAAATATTTTTAAATCAATTCTAAAGGCAAATCCTTAAATATTTTGGAATGACAAAATGTGGACTATTATAAAAAATAGCTTATATAAATGTATGTATAAATAATATGACTATTGATATCCAAATGATTTTAAATTCAAATCTAAAATGAATTTTTGTTATCAGCAACAAGCGATTCAGAAATTATAATAGAAAATTATCCAAATTATCGTAGAAATTAGATTTTATCCTGTTGCCAGTCTATTTCTATCATTACGAAGACTTGCATAATGTATTATCATTAATTTACAAATTCGTGTTCGTGCGTTTTGTTATATTATCACCTTTTATACGTCGTTTGCGTCATTAGTTGTTTAACAAGTTCGATCTATATTAAAACATCCTTCTGCGTTTGAAAACAATCAAATATTATGCAGTTAGAGTTTTATTTTGTAATCAAACAAATGGTTGATACGCGAAAGAATGTACAATGGGTAAAACAAATATTCACTCGTTACAATCGTTCGTTAACAACTTTAATTAATTAACCATAACTAAAAGAGAAACAATAATAATAATAATAATAATAATAATAATAATAATAATAATAATAATAATAATAATAATAATAATAATAATGGATATTCGAATAATGAAAAAGAATTCTATAAAAAAAGTGTAACAATAATACGCACAATAAATGAACGTACAAAAGATTTACCATTCGAAAGCGATTCCCGCTTTATTTCTTTCATTTTTAATATTCTTTTATTTTATTATTTTTTGTTTTATTTTTTTTCTTCTTGTTTATTTTTAGAATTCGATCGCTTAATCGTGAAAGATGTCTACATAACGTTTTGCATACGTATTTATGTATATACTTACACATTTATATATATCGCAGAGACATTGGACTTTCGAGTTCACGGAGAAAGTTTAGCTCTAACACTCGAATACCTGCCTGCCGACCTATAGAGAGGCGTCTATATAAATAAAAGGAACGTCGATGATCTTGCTCTCCGTTTCGACCCAGTTTTTTTTTTGCTGGATGCACCTTGCAACTGAACGGCATTCCTCTAAACGCTATCACTCTGTCTCTTCTCAACAAAAATAAATACATAGTTATTAGTGCACATTAGAGAAATTATTATTTCAATTTTTAACCACATTATATATATATAATATACAATTCTCTTTCACTTTTGATCTATGATCATCATCCATATTATTTTGTTATAGAAAGAAAAAGAGAAAGAGAGAGAAAAAGAGAGGAAGAGAGAGGGAGAGAGTCATTCATTATGTATATATTTAACAACGTCGTTCACTTTCGTTTTCATTCTTATGGAATAGAATTAACACATATTTTCAATATCCGTGACTATAATGACTAATCGTTTAATTTATTTGCAAGAATACAAAGGATGATAGATTTTTATTGATTTGGAAGTATCTAATTGAATATATTATTAAAAGGAATATAATAAAATGATAATATTTTGACAGAAGAAAAAAAGATAGAGAGAGAGAGAGAAAAAGGGAGAAGATGATGATGAGACAAGAGACAAGGAAAGTATCGTTGTCGTAGTCGCGAGTAATCCTTCATCGTCTATGTTTCAAATATATAATTTTATCTAGACACGCTTTCGCCCGTCCCATATAAAACGTCACCTCTCTCTCTCTTTCTCTCTCTCTCTCTCTAAATCCACCACGACTTCCTCTTCGAAAAACGCTCTTACTTTCTTCGTCAATTCCATCGGCGTAACATCATCGCGCAACACACGAGAGAACGCATGTTTTTTTTTCTTTTCGTTTGTTCGTTTTGCAATGATCCACCCAAGTCAATTGTGTATATACTTTAATAAATCTGTTTGTTAATTCTTTTTATTTAGAAATAACTAAACCAAT